TCAGGATAGTTCAACTGAGATATAACATTAAAAAGGCTTAGTCTGACTAGTAAAAATCATAGCACTTTGACTTGATACCTATCTTGAATATATTAGAGTCAAATAATCAAATACATAAGATGAACTCGAGAACATGACTAGAATGAGCTTAGAATTAAAAACGATTTCTAGTTTTAATATAAGCCAAACAAAAGGTGTTTTATAAATAAAGAGTGGGGCCTTTCTGACTTGGTTCATATAGAGAATTAATATGACTTAAATGTAACATCCTGAATTTTGGACCTAGAAGTGCAAGAAATAGCCTGAAATAAGCAGGGTACCAAACCCTTTTTGGCAGGAGTCCCAGAAATTCCCTAAAAGGATAGAAGGATTCTCAAGGACCAAATTGAAAAGTAAAAGTTTTTTGGAATGAAGAAACAAGGAATATAAAGACCCTAATGAAGTCTTAGGAGTTGAGTATGAGAAATTGAGATGATTATGGGTCAAAAGTCATGTTAGAGATCTTAATGAGATAATTCTTGGGGTTAAACCTTGGCATGAAGCAAACATTAACTTTAAAAAGTTTTGGGCTGAAATGGGTAAAGATGAAAAATACGCCTGAAATTGTAGAAAATTTCATAAAATGAGAAATGAGGTATTAAGGCCCATTTGAAGTTTAAAATGACAAAAATACCCAGAATGAATTTTGAGGAATTTCTAGAATTTTAGATAATTATAAGTTATTTAGTCAAATCCAATTATTTGAAATATGAAGAAGCCTCAAATAATTGGATAAAAATGGAGATTAATTAATTAAGGGGTTATGTGAATTTATAAAAATTTTTATCCCCAAAAAAAATGAGAAGATTGGCTTTAAAAATATTTAAAGCCTAATTGTGCCAATTAGTGGCATTTCCTGAGAAATTAAAAAAAAAAACTTTTGAGCCAATTTCTGACTCAAAAAAATTAGAAAACTTTCCTATGATGAGAAGGAATTTTTGAAGGTAAGAAACAAATTTTAGGAGTTGTGGACCATTAAAAAGAATTTGGTCAAATTTACTCCTAAATAAAATTATTAAATGTTTCCAAAATGGGAGACAAAATAAAAACTATCTTTCTTCTCCCATGTACTGTAATTAATATCCATCAGAGTTCATTATCAAACCCCACATACTCTAATTAATGAGGAGACGAGTTGCAGACAATGAAATGTTAACAAAAATAATGAGATGATGAAATTCTTGGTTGATTTTTCAAGTGGCATTATATTAAAAGCTAAGAGAGGATTTGAGCTCCTCTTCCATTTTCCTCTTCATTTTGGTGCCACCTAAGACTCTCTCTACTGGTAGAATTTTTGTAATGCCATGTGATGAAATTGCATTAATAATTAAGGCCAAATGAAAGCATGAGAAGGATGATATAGCCCTTGTAATGTCTATCAACTTTAAGGGCAAAGATTCAAGGGCTTTATGGTAATTTCAAAGGATGGACCTCAAAATACTTTCCAATGGAGTTAAGAATACACATGGGAAGGTTATGATCATTGTCACATCCAAACTTTCAGACCTAGAAGTACTAAAATTAGCCTGAGATGGGTAGGCTACCATACCCTTTTTGGCAGAGGTCCTAGAGATTCCCTGGAAGGACAGAGGGATTCCCAGGGACTAAATTGCAAAGAGAAAGTTTTTCGGGACTGAGAAAAGAGAAAGTTAGAGACTCTAGTAAAGTCTCAAGGCGGGAATGAGAAACAGAGATGAACGTAGGCTAATAGTTATGTTAGAAGCTTCAATGAGGTGAATTTTGAGGTTAAGCCAAACCAAGAGCAAAATTATAATTTTGTAAAATTTTGGGCTAGTAAGGGCAAAAATGAAAATTATGCCCGAAAATCCTAGAAAAATCTCAGAAAATGAAAAATAGTAGGTTAAGGCCTAAACAATTCAAAAAAATTCTAGAAAAATAGGAATAAGATTCAGAGGCCTGTATGAGGCTAAAAATGATGAAAATGCCCTTGGAAGGAAATTATGGAATTATCAGCGTTTTGACTGATTTTAAATATTATTAAAAATGAATTATTCAAGGTATAGGGAGGCCTCAAATAATTGGAAGAAAATGGGAGAAAATACTTGAAGAATTATCACAAGTTTTAAAAATAATTATGTCCCCAGAAAGCGAAGAGGTTGGCTTTAATGGAATTCAAAGCTTATTTACGTATTATCCAGAGAAAGTCAAAGTCAAATGTCTAGAGATTGAATTTTGACTCAAGAAAAATTAGAGGAATTCCCTGTGATGAATAAATAGTATTAATACCCAGAGATAGATTCTCGGAGTTGTAGACCGGTAGAAAGAATTCGGTCAAGTTCACTCTGAAATAAATATTATTAATTATTTTAATGGAAGAACAAAGGAAAAGCATCACTCCCTCTTTGGGCATGTTATATAATGCCATATGGATTTACTTGAGGTGAGAAAATGGTGCCATAACATGTCCTAGTTGTCCCGGGAAAATCAGGACTCGAAAAAATACCCTATACAGTGCAGAATGGCAAGATAGGTGGGGGAATACCTAAGGTTTGTATTTTGCACGAATTTTATATTAATTTCCTTCCTATTTTAATACCAAAATGATGAAGGAATATAGAGGAGACAAGTGTATGGTTAGATGGGAAAAGAAGGTATTAAGCGTACAGATGCAAGACATACGATCGATTAAAGGCATGTGGATTGATGATGTAAGCATGATGTCATGGACACTCGTCACCACAAGATTAAAAGATGATCAATTGTAGGAATAATTCTCACACTCATATTATTTCATATGATTGGGTTACAATTTATAGAGTAGGGATGAGGGAAATCACGCTGGTTACAATCAATCAGAAATAAATTGGAGATATTGTAATATCACAAGAAATCAGGACTTTATTCTCTAGCTAATATCATGGGTAATCAATGGAGAGAATCAAGTGAGAGAAATCAGGGCTTTCTAATACTCCCCCTCAAGCTGGAGAGTAGATGTCAACCATCCTTAGCTTGCTTCGAAGCCCTTCAAACTTGACTCTGGTTAAAGGCTTGATCATGATGTCAGCAATCTGATCAGTTGCACGCACATAGCTCAAGTTAATGGTGCCATCTTCGACCTTTTCTTTGATAAAGTGCCAATCAATGTCAACATGCTTTGTTCAGTCATGATACACCGGATTCTTGGTCATTTCTATATTGGCTTGGTTGTCACACCAAAGGTTCACTGGACCTTCATAAGGAATTCTTAGTTCCTTCAGGAGTCTAATCACCCACATTCCTTCACATACCCCCAGGGCTATAGCTCTTAGCTCAGCTTCAGCACTGTTCCTTGAGACTACTGTCTGTTTCTTGCTTCGCAAAGTAACTAGGTTTCCCCAAACATAAATGCAATAACTTGTGACAGATCTCCTGTTATCCACAACTTTCCCGTGATCTGGATTAGTATAGACCTCTAGGTCTCTTATACACCTCTTTTTAAAAAATATTCCTCTTCCAAGATTGAGTTTGAGGTAGGTCAGGATTCTGTATACTGCTTCTATATGTTCTTCCTAAGGTTGATGCATAAATTGGCTTACCACTCCAACTGCATAGCTAATGTCAGGTCGTGTATGAGTCAAGTAGGTCAGTTTACCCACAAGTCTTCTGGACCTTTCTGAGTTAACTGGTGCCCCGTTTGGTTTCACTTCCAGATTGCATGACTCTTCCATAGGTGTCTCACTAGGTTTAGCCCCAAGTATTCCTGTTTCGTGGACTATGTAACATCTTGATTTTTGGGCCTAAAGTACTAGAAATAGCCTAAATGGGATAGGCTACCAGACCCCTTTTTAGTAGAGGTCCTAAAGATGAGAAAGGAAGTTAAAGCAGTTTCAGGGACTAAACTGCAAAGTGAAAGTTTTAAGGGGCTAAAGTGTAATCAAAGTTAGAGGCTCTAGTAAAGTCTCAAAGGCCCTGAAAGAGAAAAGAGGCTAGATACAAACCAAAGGTTAAGTTAGAAGCCTTAAAGAGATGGTTTTATGAGATTGAGCCTAAGCAGGGGTAAAACCGTAAATTCAGAAAGTTACGGCCATCAGGGATAAAAATGGAAAGTACTTAGAAAATTCTAAGAAAATCCCAAAAAATGGGAAATAATATTCTAAGGCTCTTTTGTGAAGAGAGATGATGAAAATACCCCTGAGATAACTTAAAAGGAATTTATAAGTTTATGGCTTTGTTTGAGATGTAGAGGTAGATTTAATTGTTTGAGTCATAAGGAAACCTCAGAAAATTATGACAAAATGGGGATGTATGATCTAAGAGACTGTAGAAAATTATAAAATTAGTCTCATCCCAGAAGACTAACAAAATGGCTTTAAGAATACTTAAAAGCCAGTTATGCCGAAAAAAGGGCATTTTAAAGAATGATTTTTAAGTAGGGCTACAGGTTGAGTTATGACCTGAGAAAATTCACAGATTTTCTCTAGAATATGAGGAATTTTATGATATTTTTTGGATGAATTTTTGGAGCTCTGGATTGAATAAAATGCTCCAGTCAAATATTAAATAATTTTGTCCCCTAAATAGGGGACAAAACCAAAGAAAATATCTAAGGGCCATCATGACGATACTGAGTCACCAAGCATAATCATGACACCTACGAGTCATCATGCTGAGTCGCCAAGCGTAATCATGACATCTACGAGTCATCATGCTGAGTCACAAAATGCAATCATGACACTTACGAGTCATCATACTGAGTCAGTAGAAGATATTTATGGACAGCATAAAAATCAGAACGCAGTATAGGAATATTTTAGACAATCCTTTGTCTACCTGTTATAGTGAAATCCCTACTGCATGACTCAGTAAGGTTAAGTAGCTGTCAGCAAAGCTAATTATTTTCATCTATGCTCCTCTAAGATGGCGCCATATATATACCTTTTATTGGCCAGAATTTTAAGAAGAAGTTGTCCCAGTGATACAGGGTAAGTTAGGAGCCAAAAAATCCGATACGGTGCAAGATTGGCTTGATAAGTGGAGAAATAATTAAGGAAATATTTTTACACGAATTTTCCATTTATTTCCTCCCTATTTTAATGCCAAGTTGATGAATGGGCATGAAAGGAATTGTTCAAGTTGTTAGAAAAATCTAGAACTATCTAGAAGAATCTAGAGCAATCAAGAAGAGTATAGAAGAACCTAGAGGGAACTAGAAATCTCTAGAAGCATCTACAAGCTTCTTGAAGCCATGACTCACCAAGACACTTGTCATCTTCTTAGGCTATGTTGCTTAAGATGTGTACACATGGAAAGGTGGTTGAATGGAGGGCTCGGATGAGCTCTTATTCAAGAAGGGCATGTGTGGCATTATGGAAAGTATGAAGCCTATAAATACCCCCATCCATAGTTCATTTTCGTGCAAGACCATTTTAAGAGGGGAAACTCTTGCAAAATCAAAACTAGAGAGAGAAAGAAGAGAATTCTAGAGAGGGGAAGTGACTTGGAACCAAGGTAAGGCTTCCAAACTTCTCTATGTTGGTTTATGGTAGTTATATATTGATTTTATGATAGTTTGATGATGTTGGGAAGTCATTTTCCTAAGGGAAAGTGCTGCCCAAATTTTATCAAAATGATAGGGAATAATTTTACAAAGCTAGAACATCAATCCAAAATTAAGAGAAGAGGGTTAGGTTCAAGAAGGTTAGCCTTGAACTTTATATAATCTCTTGGTCCTAGTGGATTGTATGACCCATGTGATTATGTTTAGGATCTTGGAATATCCAAGAGGATGTTTGATGATATTGACCGAAAGCCCTTGTGGTTGGGAAGTCAAGGAAATCAAAAGAAAAGCAAGAAGAAAGCTTGAGGTACAAGGTAGTGAACTTACCCTTTATGTGCTTGATGTGGTATGCTCATGTGTTGGTTTGTATTTGTTGTTTGAATGATGTTGTGACATGATGATTGTTGCCGAAAATGCTGTTTTTAATATGTTCCCATGGCCATGCATTTTGATACCAAGCATAAAGCATGATGGCATGTCACTAGTTAGCTTAAGTTTATGAAAAACTACATACCATACACTAGCATTCATCTTGTGTATGTATGTGGTAATGTTTGCTACTGAGATTCCCCCAAATCTTACCCCTTTGTAACCAACCATTTAGGTCAATCAACGATGGGCAATAATGGCATGAGAAGCAAGAAGAAGTAAGCAGAGAATTATTCTTGTTAATGGATGAGACTGTTGATGAATATATAATTCTCCTATTTTGTAAACTATGTTATGGATGCCAATAATGCCATGTATTTAATTATAATGTTTATGGCATGAATAGAAATGTATGAGAATGAATGGGAAAGAGTAATCCCAAGTTATGTATGTCAAAGAAATAAAAAATTAAAGTAAAGAGTAGTTAAGGGGCAAAACGTAGGTCCTAGGTTAGTGAGTTTGTAGCTCCAGTTTGACCTAGCAAATGAATGCGTTTAGCCACAAGATTTGGCATACTTATAGTACACATCCCAAGATTTAAAATGAGAGGTAGATCGCCTCAATTGGACATGTACACAAGGAGATATGAATTTTCAAAGTTGAGGCACAGAATCTTAAAGTTCCAGATTTTACCAAATGAACAGTAATCTTTATTGATTAAACTGTACGAATTGGGCAAGGATAAGTCCAATTGGATATTTTTTTCTTAAAGAGATTTCAAAGATATTTTGGTATAATTTTAGAACACCTCAATACGATTTTTATAGATTAGTTATGATTTTTCAAAGTTGGACCTGTAATCTGAAATTTAAATAGTGAATAGTAACCTGAGTAATTATGTCGAAATTTTTAATCCATGAGCTTGTGTCATGATCCGCTTGAACCATAACACTTCCAAACGTGTACTCTGAGGGGCTAAAGGTAGGATGTTTCAGACTAAATCAAGTGTGTACTTCTATTTGGACATACTTATACCCTTTTTGGATCTAGCAACCTCAATCCCGTGAAAGTACTTCATTTGTCCTAGGTCCTTCACTTGGAATTCCCTAGCTAGGGCTTTCTTGAGTTAAGAGATAGAAACCTTATCATTTCTAGTTTTGACTATATCATCCACATACACAATTAGGACCGTTACCTTTCCATCACTGTGTTTGACAAAAAGGGTATGGTTAGCTCATCCTTGGATGTAACCAAACCTTTTGATCGCTTTGGCAAACCTGTCGAACCATACTCATGGAGATTGTTTTAGGCCATATAATGATTTCTTCAGTTTGCAAACTGAGTTCGGTGGAGCTATTACTCTATTTGGGATTTCCATGTATGCTTCCTCCTCCAAATATCCATTTAGAAAGGCATTCTTCACATCTAGTTGATGTAGGGACTAGTCAAGATTAGCAGCTAGGGACAAGAGTACTTGGATGGTGTTGAACTTTGCCACTGGAGTAAATGTTTCTTGATAATCAATCCCATAAGTTTGGGTGTACCCTTTTGCAACTAATCTCCCTTTTTACTTGTTAATGCTTCTGTCGGGATTAAATTTAGGGGTGAAGATCCACCTACAACCCACCGCTTTCTTACCTTTAGGAAGTGTGGTAATATCCCACGTATCATTTTCCTTTAAGGCTCTTAACTCTTCGTATGTAGTACGTTTCCAACTAGGATCTTTCATAGCCTGTTGAAATGTTTTTGGAATCTTTACCTACCAGCTATTCACCATAAAGGTTTGTATTCTAGCAGATAAATTGCTATATGAGACAAATCTTTGAATAGGATGCTGAGTACACGATCTTACCCCCTTTCTAAGTGCAATAGGCCATCCTAGCTCTTCAGGATCCAACTCCAGATTGGAATCATGTTGCTGCCTTGGAATGGAAGGAACCTTACTACTGCTATCCTGTTCACCTAATTGAGGACTTGAATGTTTTGTCACCCCTGCATCAATTTCAGCATTGGTTTCCATTGGGTGAGGAGTGTTTATGGGGCTTTGGTGTTTTAGTGGAGGTATAGGACCAGGGGTTTTTGGTTCAGGTTCAGGGATTTCGTCTTGTGGTATATAAGGTTCAAGGGGGTTAAGAGGTGATTTAGTCATAGGTTCAGGCGTAATTAGCCATTCTACTCTATAGTTCTCCCCTTGAATGGGTAATTTGGGATAATAAGCATCATCCTCGTAAAAGACGGTTCCTTTCGAGATTATAAGCTTTCTAATGGTAGGCCAATAACACTTATACTCCTTTTTGGTGAAGGAATACCCAAGGAAAATACATTTTACTGCTCTAGCATCTAGTTTGCCCCCATCATGGTTATGGACAAAGATGACACACCCAAAGACCTCTTGAGG